TCCTTGAATTACTTTGGGATAATAGAAATGGACTTCCAAGCCCCATGAATGCTCAAAGCTGTGAGCAGAATTTCCCACATGTATTTTTAGGTAGAGGGCATGTATTTCTTATGGTATTTTCAATCAATCTTAACAGTCAAAAAAAATTAAAACCACTCACATGAGAAAAGGGTATGGCTAGATAAAAACGACACTAGAATAGGTAAGAATGTACTTTTAAAGATAAAGGGAACTTTTGGAGATAGCTAATTATCGCCTACCATCTAAAGCCAAATAAGCATTGGATTAATTTTTTAGTGCTTATAGCAAAAATAATTTATATTTGTCTTTAATACATTTTTTAGAGTTCAGTAGCTGAGTAAATAGCAATACTTCAAATAAAAAGACCCAGCTATATTAAGACATTTTAGTTTAGAAAGAATAATCAAACTTCAGCCAGACAAGATGTAGGTTTCCACGAAAAGCTGAAGGTAACATGTTGGCCTAATAAGTTCAAAAGATGATCTCGCCATAGAAAACATGAGAGCAAGAATTCAGCTGGAGCCAGGGTAGCAAGAATTCACAGCAAGGAAAATTTCCCTCTGAAAAGTATCCTGAGCCAGCTTGTTAGAAGAAATTCTTGATTTTAGTTCCTTTGTTGCACTATTATTCTAACGTATGTTCATAAAAGTGGGGCTATCATGTTCTTTAAATTTCTATAGTTGCCACATCTTCTAGTAAGTTGGATAATCAACACTTCTGCTCTCTGACATAAAAAAAAGTCCTACTCATACAAAGGATACTATTTAGGATATAGACAGAGAAACAGAGAAACAAAGTGTTTTGAAATAAACCTGATCTGTAGTCATATAAGTTAAAATTTCTTCCACTAGCTTGACATTTATGTAGTCATAATAAATTATATGTTTATCTTCATAGCTAACTATATGATTTTTTCTATATTTTAGTGTCTTATTAAAAAAAACTTATAGAACAACTAACTATATATACCCACACAGTAGTCAACATTTTTGGCCAAAAAGCAAAAAAATAAATGTAGAAAAATAAATGTATTTATTTACTTACTTCTAATTTCTTTATTTCCTTTCTGATTTTGTGAAGACATTTATATAGGACACACATTAAAATAGATAATGAAAAAAAAGTAATATACCAATACATGAGAAAACAAAATTGCAGTAGTCAAGGCAATAGAGAAAAAAAATAAAGTCCTTAATATTTTACACAGTTATTAATTTCTAGATATTAATTTTACTTGGACATCCCTAGTGACTAAAAGAAAAAGCAAATGGGATCAATTTTATGATGCACATTGTGTATAAGAGAACATACCACTTAGCTTTGGATAGTTTAAGTGAGGAGGAGGAGTATGAGAGTTCAATTCAGGAAACTGTCAATGAAAGAAATGTTTTTGAAGAGATTTAATATAAGAAATAGTAAGTGATGTGTTAGGCAAATCTGAGTCTGTAGTAACAACCCTATAGTACATATAGAGCAGGACATGTAAACTGAGGGTTGTTTTATACAGAATATTTGCATATAAGCTGAAAGTAGAATATTGAAGCATAGGAAAGGCAATTCAGTTTGGAGGAGGTCTAAACAATGCTACCTATATATTTACCTTTCCAATAATTTGTATTGCTCTGAAAATAAATAAGAGACTATCCAGAAGTATGATTTAATCATGTGTGCTTTAGAAAAGCATTTATATGTTTCTTATCTGTCAATAATTTTTGAAAATAAAAATTGAGCAGAAGGCATTGACAAGAACCTGAAATGCAGATATTCTGGGTTTTGTCTATTTTGCTATTCTTCGTCACTTCTTTGGCAATGGAGAATAGAATATAAATTACTAATCTCTGCACTTCTATAAAACTTAGTAGACTTGCCATGTTGTTTTGCAATGTATCTCATCAAGGTCAGAGACCAAAGATCATCTATCTTTGTATCCCAGCCACTAGCAAAGGAAGTAGAACATAATGGATTTTTAATTCATTACATTTTCCTAAGTGAGCCACTTTGCTGACTTTCCAGAACATCATCACCTTTCATATAGCTTGAGAAAGGTCAAGATCATGCACAAACTAACACCAAGGAACTTAATATGTAGTCAAAACTTATCTTTCACATCAACTCAAAAATATTGACTAAAAACAGAGTATCAACTGATATATGTATGAATTTAAGAAGAAGAAGGAGGAGGAGGAGGAGGAGGAAATCATCCAGAAAAATCTTCAGAATCTAACTATACTTATGCTATGTCAATGACATGACAAATCAGCATTTCTCAAATGATCTATGAAACAATAGCCTTATCTCACTTTCTAATTTGGATGAGAATTAGATTGTAACATTCAGATTTGTAAAGTCAGTATAATGAGCATTTAGTATGAAGCCATACTAAAGGTCATAAAATGACAAGTCAAAATCTCCAGTCATGACAACAAATCCTTGGTGTGGGGCCCATACATGAGCAGTAAAATCATGCTACTTAGGTTTTTTTTCCTTGAGTTTGGAATGCAAAGAGAATGAGTGATTGCCAGTTATAGTATGAAAATACAGGGTGATGTAAACTGCAGCATGTGTCTAGACAGTGTCAAAACCAAAACCAAATGAACAAATTTAAAAGCAGTTTGAGGTACAAACAGTTGGTTAATATAGTGTAAATTAAATGGTTAACTTCTGAACTTATTTGAATAGAACATTCTTGCAACAGTCTAGAAACATACATAGAATAATAGATGGAAGAAAATGACCTCCTTTCCCATACTCTATGAGTGACTGTATTGCCAGAGTACAATATTTCTGGAACTTGTTGCTTGAAGTGTGGTCCTGAACTAGCAACCTCTGGCATCACGTGGGATATTAGAAATGCAGAATCTGAGACCCAAACTCATTCTTGCTGAATGAAAACCTGCATTTTTTCAAGATCCTGAGGGGTTTCATATGCACATTAAATTTCAGGAGGCACTGCTGTAGCATATACTACCAAAATAGGATGGGGGCCCTTAGCAAGTTTTATTTTATTTTAAAGATTTTATTTATTTATTTGACATGGAGAGAGAGATCACAAGTAGGCAGAGAGGCAGGCAGAGGGAGAGAGAGGAGGAAGCAGGCTCCCCACTGAGCAGAGAGCCCGATGATTAACAGAGGCTTTAACCCACTGAGCCACCCGGGCGCCCCCACTTAGCAAGTTTTAAAAAAGAGTCAATAAAGACATGGCTAAGAACATGTTACTGGAAGAACTTCTTCCACTTTCTTCATTGGTGGGCAGTCCACCTATATTATAGAGTGTTTAATAGTTTTGTTTTAAGATTTATTTATTTATTTATTTATTTATTTATTTGAGAGAGGGGAATAGGTGAGAGAAATTTCCAAGCAGGCTCCAGGCTAAGTGCTGAGCTCACTGTGGGACTCAATCTCACCAACCTGAGATCATGACCTGAGCAGAAATCAAGAGTTGGTCACTTAAACAATTGAACCACCTGTGTATCCCCAGGGTGTTTAAAAGTTTTAAATGAAAAAGAATAAGTATTTTTCAGTATAGTCTTGTATGAACTCCCATTTATACATTGCCCATTTCTTGTAAGACCATGAAATTTCCTAAATTAGTAAATACTCTAAATACATTGTCTTCACTTTATTGTTGAATTCTTTTTTTTTAATTTTTTTAAGATTATTTATTTATTTGACAGACAAGTAGGCAGAGAGGCAGGTAGAGAGAGGAGGAAGCAGGCTCCCTGCCGCGCAGAGAGCCCGATGTAGGGCTGGATCCCAGGACCCTGAGATCATGACCTGAGCCGAAGGCAGAGGCTTTAACCCACTGAGCCACCCAGGCGCCCCTTATTGTTGAATTCTAACTCATCTTTACATCATGGGCTTTCAGCAAATTTTACACTAACAATGACCCAATTCTGCATCAACATTTCCCCCAATTGCTGACAATTTAATAACATACAGAACTAATAATTAAGTTTTTAGAGAATCTACAGGTGTTTGCAATTTGAAGGTTCTGAATATAGTATCCAAACATAAATAGAATTGGACCGTTATAATTGAGTTGGACAAGACCCCCAAGTAAGAATGCAGGAAGAGATTGTATTGTTGTTTTCTTTTGTTTTGTTTTTGTTTTGCTTTCAATGCCGTTTAAGTTTAGTCTATGTACTGAACACTGTTTAGAAAACGTGCCATGCAATCACATATGGGCTTTTATGGAACATTCCCGTCTTGGTGTATTCTAGCTCATTGGTAGGTCTACGCAATTTTTCAGCACTACGGACAGCGCCTGGACGCCAATCCCTAAAAAGCAGGGGCGGGAAGGGAGGGCAGGATCCTGTTGGGTTTGCGCAGAAAAGAAAAGGTGAAGAATAGGAAAAAATAACTCCAAATGACGCATGCGGTCCCCAGTTAAACCAACACACTATCACTCTCGTCTTCCTCTTATCAGACGAGAAGGAAGACGTATTTAGCGTCAACTCCCCGGCTGAGACTGCGGTCAACCAGTACAACAAAATGCCCGCGGCACAGCTACGGATGCAGAGGAGAGGAAAACACGGATTTTAAGAATAAATTAATTAAACCTCCACTGCCTTAGGAAGCCAGATGAACTCCGATTGCTACCCTGCAGTGTGATAGTGAAAATGAGCACCTTTTTTTTTTTTTTTCTTTTTTCGAAAAACTGAGGAATAGAGCCTGTTGCTGCGGTGGCCCATTCCCCGCCCCCTCTCATTTCCCAACTCTTCTCTGTCTCACAAACACAGCCGCCTTCACATACATGCGCGCGCGCGCAAATATTTACACTCTGCCACATCGAATAAATCCAGGCACATTTTCCTGCAAATACACTAGCGCGCGCACACGTACTTCGCGGGCGCCCACGTCCTCTGTCTCTCACTGACAGATACAGACATTTACACACCTAGGCCAGGAGAGCGCTAACCACGGTCCTGTGACTCCACGCAGGTTCCCAGGACACGCCTTTTTGTTACTGAACCGATCAGCGAACACAGACATACCTGCCAACACTTAAGTCTACTCGCTGGATTTCATCTCCATGGCAACAAGCATGGAAGGTGAGACATCGCTGCCTGCGAAGTAACTTTCTCCCCCTACCCTCCGCATTAACTGACAGGGTTTCAGGGAAGGTCCAGAGGAGAAGCCTGTCCTCATTCTCTTGTATTTCTGAAGCTAGGGAGCCGAAAAGGGAAGGGGGGTGGGGGATACAGCCTGCAGGTCTGGTCAGTTCAAATTCTAAAGGAGAAAAGAGCCCTGATGTTTCTGCTGCTGCTGCTGCTGCTGCTGCTGCTGCTGCTGCTGCTGCTGCTGTCAAAAAGAAAAGATAAAATGTGTTTTGTGTTTGCAGTTAGCTTTCTGATGCTTCTCCCATGTTTTGTAGGAGGTTTCTACGCTTCTTTAGTTTAATATGTCCAAAGAGAACTGGAGACAAACAAAGCAGAACAATAATGACAGTCCAGGTTTCTCTAGTGAGAAATTTTGAAAAATTTCAGACCAGATATCCAGTATTTGAAAAGATCCAATGTCAGAGTCCTTGGGGAGCCATACGAAGATTCGCTAAAGGTTGAAATCTGAAAGGTTGGGGGGAGGGTATTGGTTCTGGCAGATCCCAGGGTTTTGGATCTCTGGCAAGGCCTGAAATGTATGTACTTCACCATTATGACGACATCTGGGTTTGTAATTTAAGGTTTTCCTTTCATTACAACACATTCCATTCCTAATGATTAACTAGTCTGTACAGAAATGGCCTGAACAATGCTTCATTTCCCTCTTTACTTTGAATGGGATTTAATAACCTTGATATTTGGTGGGGGATGTGTATATGTGTATATGGGAGGAGTCATTATTTTTTTAGCCTGGGTTTTCTTACGTGTCTCATTTTATGAAATCATGTGTGTTCATATTATTAGCATTAAAGATCACTATATCTGATATCCAGTATCAAAATACTTTTCACCGAGAATACCATATTCCACTATAATAGTTGTCATTTCAGATATACTGTTTGGACTATCATTACTAGATAAATATACCAGAGGGAAAAAACCTGTTGATTAAAATAATATACAAGAGGTTCTCTCTCTTTCTTTTTTAAATGGGCATATACTTTTCAATATTGGTTTCTACAGTTGCACATTGTGGCATGCAAACGAACTATAGGTTTCTGAAAAGTGAAATTTTATATTTCTAATCAGTAAACTTATTCACAGAAGAAAAAAATCACATACAACATCCATGTCGTATGTGGTTATATATATATGTATGTATATGTATATGCATATTATATACATATATACACACATATATATGGTATAAAAATACTGGTATCTTTGACTACTCACAATAGTATGATTTGTATGATCATAGAAAGACTTTATTTATTGGTTATTATTACAAAGCTATTGAGTGAGATTTTGGCCTTTTGGTCTACAGCTATACTGTTGGCCCAATCCTATGACTCATCAGGACTTAAAAATCTCAGTTCCTAACAATTGCCATGAAGGAAATGATGTACTTTCAACTCAATTGCTCATTTCTAAAGTACCTATATGTTGATCTTCTTCATTTTTTGTGGTGTAGCATATTTAAAATAACTTCTACTACACAATTTTACATCTACTCTTTTTTTTGAAAATTCATTTCTTTTTTCTCAACAGGGTTTATTTATCCTGGTTTTATAACTTCATGGTCTAAATGTCTCTCATTTTTCTATTTCCCAGTAAACAAGATATTAAGATGATGTTTTCCTTCTGAGGTAGGCATTAAAATGTCTGTTTTACAGAAACTAATGATTTATTTTGCTTTTCCATCTCTGTCACAGACTAGAGAAAGTGAAAATGTATCTTTTATCCACATTCATTGAGTAATTTCAGATATCTTATTGATTATGAAGAAGTCAGTATTGTAAGTGGAGAGTTCTATTTATTTTTAACAGTATTTTGTTACTAGCAATACTTTCTTTCATCAAATTATGCTCTATATCAATAGAAAAGTACAAAGCTCATTGCACTTACAATATATTCTTAAAAACTTCAAAACTTGCTGGTGAAATGAGACAAGTGTTCATTTCACACAGCAAGTAAAATGGAAAGTTTGGGCAAATGTTTAAAAAAAATAGGACTGAAAATATTGGTATTTCATTTGCTACACCTATGGCTTAAATTACCAAGAGCATCTATTTGCTGAACATATTGTTAGGCAATTGCTTAACTTTTTATTTATTTGCTTATGGAGACAGCCTGCAGCAATGGTCAGACTTTTTTCCAATCTTAAACACTACCCTTAAATTGTTTACCTTGACTTATATCTTGTTTTCATCTTTAGTATAGGTAGAATTTTAAAATGAATTTTTAAAAGTCCAAATTCTTTTAAGATATTAATAAAACCTCTGTTCTTTATCTCCCGAATTTCTGGCTAAAAATAGAAATTTCCTAGTTCTTTGAACCCCAACTGAATTTATTTGGTTCTACTTTTAAAAGTTGAATATATAATCATGTCCTTATTATTAGAAATAATTGGTTTTTAGATCTAAACTTTTGCACTTAAATTTTTGTGCAAGTAAATCATCTTTTTTGTCAAGTTTCTTTTATCATTTGGCTTTATTTATTCATTACCCATCACTCCAAAACCCTCTTCAATTTCGTGTCCCTCCTGGACATTCCACCAAAATTTTTAAAGTAATGAAAAAATTCTGAAGGCCAAACCCAAGGCCCTGTTTTTCAGCATGTAGTTTCTATCACCGCTGCAGAATTTGACACTGTTCACCAATACCTTTAGAAACTCTAGCTTCCTTTGTTCTAAGTGAACTTCCTACTACAGATTCACTTACGACTCTGATCATTCCTAATACAACTCCACTAGCAGATCCTGCTTTCTTCTTGTAAGAGAAGGATTCTCAGAGGTTCATTGCTAGGTTTCTTTCATCTTCAATCCTTTTTGGTGACTGCAAATAGAACCTTAATGGGATGACATAAAAATTGCTTTCTGGATCAATCCAAAACAAGTAGATCTGGCTTCCTACAGTAACATTTCAAATATCTGAATGCAGTTAGCATCCTCCTTGGTCTTCCTTTTCTGCAAAACTCAGCAACTCTTTCTTTCTCTTAAGTTTTGATCTGTAAATTCTTCTATGTATTAAACTCTCTTCATCCTGGAACTATTCTTCCACACAAATTTTATTTGTCAGTAATATCCTTAAGATATTCTTCCCACCAGTAATTTTATGCTAAACAGCATGATCTGGGTTAATTTGTTTAAAACTGCCTATTGAGTATCTACTATGTCCCAGGTATGGACACCATAAGTTCACTAAGCACAGAACTAAACTTTTCATTTATTTTCTAAATTGACACTTTGTACATATTTTCTTAATTTTGGTTAATGAAAGCACTGTCTTTACACTTGTCCAGGCTTAATAGAGAGGAGTCATCTTTGATACCTCTCTCTCCCTGACCCTCTACCTTCCATCATTTGCCAGAACTTCCCCAATATCTTTATAAATATCTTTAAAACCCATTTCCTCTCCCACATATCTATTTTGTTAGTCCAAGCCCTCATTGCTTCTCACCTGGACCATTTCTTTCCCATGATGCTCCCTCCCTGAAATCTTTGTCTATTTTGGCCTCATCACCAAGCATCTCAACCTTTAGGCAAATAAATTGCAAACTCAGCCTGACAGTCAAGGAATTAATTCATCTTGGCTCAACCTACCTTTCTAATGTACTGTTTCCCATACTCCGCTTTACTTGTGCCAAACTGTGAACAAATTCAGCACTCTTCTACCTTTGTGTTTATTGTCATGCTGTTTCCTTCTGCACATACCTAAATCTTCTGTTTTTCAAGACTAAGCTCAAATACAATTTCTTACAATCTCTTTCCTGATCCCTAAATGAGCGAAATCTCTATTTCCTCTAAATTTGTTGGCTTTGCATCTCTTCTGTCGTCAGGATATTAAAGATACTAATATTAACCTTGTATGGTTGTTATGGGGATTAAATAAAATAATAGATGTAAAGCAATGTTTGGTATATGGTGTATGCTAAATACAAGTTTATTCCCTCTTCCCTTCTATTGCCTTTGTAAAAATCTATGCTGTTTTCTTCCTGTTTGTGCATAGACCCTCACCCTTACGGGTTGGAATCACCTAGAGTGCAAATCATGTGAATCTTTCTAGGAATGTTATCATTAATCAATCTGATAAAAATAAACAAGAAACAGTGAACTCTGAGCTGCTGAATTTTGATATTTATCTCCGAGGCCAATTTTTTTTAATCAAACAAAAGTTTTCTTATTCACTTCAACTAAATGTTAAACATTTTTTGACATGTTTTCTGGATGCCTAAAAATCAGATTTTCAGAAACCAGAACTTTATTCATCAAAAATTATATTTTTCAATAAATTTACTTTGATTCAGTTCAGATATTTTTTTGGATAACTATGATAGAAGCTGAGAACTATAATTAGTGCTTGAAAACTAGTTATTTTTGCATTAAAAAGGAAAGTAATTCAGATTGTCTGAGACTCTCAGGATGAGGCATTATCTGGTGTGTTAGGTAATTTAATAAGGGATTTTGTATCTCAAACTTGGAAGATACTGTGTTTTAATTTTAATAGTGACAAATGAGATGAGTGTTTTATTGCTACAGCTAGAAAATGCCTCTTTTTGTTTGTCTGTTTGTTTGGTCAATTGATGGGTTTTAATATAAATAACAGAGATTAGTGGATTACTCATTAAGAGCTAACTGACTTAACTCTTCTAATGCTTAGCTACAACCCTTTGTTTCTGTCTGCAGTATGATTTTTAAAAACATAAATAAATTGAACTAATATCATAATTATACATAGTTTAGGTTTTTTCTACATAATGTCAATATGGACCAGTTGAAAAATGTACAGATGTTTTAACTTTTGCATTAGCAATTGTTGCAAGTGTGTTCCTCAGAAACTGGTCTCTGAGGCAGAGTTCAGTGTGAGGACGTTTATTAAGTGGTGCTCTTGGGCCCAACACTTGTGAAAGAGTGGGGAATAGGCAGGAGTGTGCAGAAGTTGAACTATAATGTAGAACCAGTGCAGTCTTAGTTTACTGTATGTAAAACTCTAGATCTAGAATGGTCTTTCAGAGTTGTGCTCTATTGAGTCAAAATGACCAGGCTTTTTAATTTTGCATCAATCAGTCATTAGAAATGGTCTGCCCTGGGAACAGACTGTGACCTTGCATGAGGCAGGCAGCTCCCCACGAAAGGGGCTACATACAGCTGAAGATTATCTAGTGGCAGCACTCCCAGCTTCTGGGCAAGAAGTCCTCCATTGGAGGGAGCCTGTTAGACACGCCACACGCATCCACCAGTAAAGCAGGTTTATTCCTCCTCTTATCCGCATGTCTTCTGAAATAGTCAAATGATATAGCCTAGCAAAGTCATGACTCTAATGAAAAAAATAGTTCAAACTAGCTACTTGGCTGAATCAGTCAGTTATACAACAAAGGTTTGGTTCGGCATGTCCGTGTAGAAACATCCTGCTTTTCAGTGTCTTCACTTGTTAAACAAATGAACCAGAGAATGTATGGATCTCAACAAAAGACCTTTAACTGATAAAAGCAATAAAAGTGGAGCTTTCCTCAGGGAAAAATGTTCTTGTTAAGTCCCAAGGTCATTAGATATTCGGTCCAGTCTCATGTCTTCTACAGGATAAATAGTACAAGAGCTCAATCAGAAAAATCACTCTGATCCATCTAAGTGATACTAAATTTTGAAAAAAATTAAAGTATAGTCACTATACTATACATATTAAGGAAGAAAAAAATGATTTGATGGGAAGAAGTGTAACAGAGAAGTTTGAAACAATATTTTTCCGTTTAAAGCATACTGCATAACGTATTAAATATTCCTGACACTTAAGGGTTGAAAGTAAAGCTGTTTTGTAATCCAAACTATTATAAAGTAAAATATTGTTTAACATTAACTGGCTTATTCATTAGTGAATAACAGTGAAAGCTACAAGTTTGTTCTTATTAATTACTTCCTTTCTTTACTCTTTACATCCCGTACCTCTTCTTTATCAGTTGTTTTCTGAAAATCGAATCCAAAAAAATTTAAAGGGTCAGCCATTTTAATAAGTAATTCTTAAAAATTATTAGAAAAAGCAATAATAAAAATGCAAACAAGAAAAATCTATTATTCTTTGTTATTGGATGACAAGTTACTTGCTAGAAGTCCCCTCAAGAAGGGTGGCTATGGGTTAGTAACCATTTGATTTAATTAACTAATCTTAATTTAATTAATTAATTTAATTAACATTAAGACATCAAATGGGAAAATCTGTTTTGCTTCAATCCAACACATACTTTGTGAATGCTTTTGCTGTAGTTTTAAAATCTCAGTACAGAAGGAGCTTAGGACTGGGAATCTGTCTGGGAAGAGAACTGGGGAGCTCATCTTAAAGCTGAATGTTTATAGCAAATAATGCTGTTTCACTTGGTTTTATGTTTATTTAGGGTGCTGAAAGCTAATGGGGCTGGTGGGGAGACGGTTAATGCACAGCTACTGCTGCTTACTACCTACAAGATGCTATATTGGATACTGCTCTTCTTAAAATAATTTTGTAAACACAATCTATCTCTTTAAGAAATTAATATTTAGCATATGGAGCAGTAGTGGGAAAGAAAACACAGGTATATAAGTCTAAAAGCTAAGAGAATGAAAAAGAGAGAAGACATTGCATCTATTTAAAAGGATCAGAATCTGTATCAGACAAAATGGCACTGGAGAGAGACCTTAAAACATGGACCTTAGAGGGTGTGACCAGCCTACACCCTATGATTATTTATGGTGTTATCTACACATGGAAAAATCAAAGTAAATATTAGATGACAATTCAGGTCAAGGAAGCCATGACTTAACCATCTTACACTGAACCAAAAGCTTCTGGGGTTAATTATCTGAATATTCACTTCCATACCTGATTTTATATTTAGTGCATATGGGTAGTTTCAGGTGTCCCCAAAGGCAATTCTGTAATGAGTACAAAGAAGTAGCATCTCCAGTGCCAATTTGATCCTGATCCATATCTGATGTTTTCACGTGTCTTTTGTGAGCTAAGTCAAGAGAGTTTGAAAACTGCCAGATTTTAGAAAACAGTTACCTGCTCAATACCATACATGAATAACACTAAACTGAGTCCAATTTTGTGTCTAGGTCAAGAGGTGACTCCAGCAACACTTCTGAAGAGCCATAATGCTGTGACAGTGAATAATGAGTAGTACCTATTGTGGCAACTCTTCAGCTAAGATGAGTGTCAACGAAGTATCAGCTTTTTCATTGACTCTGGAGCAAAAAACTGGCTTTGCTTTTGTTGGGATTTTGTGTATATTCTTGGGACTTCTTATTATCAGATGCTTCAAAATCCTCTTAGACCCGTATAGTAGCATGCCTTCCTCTACATGGGAAGACGAAGTTGAAGAGTTTGATAAAGGGACATTTGAATATGCACTTGCGTGAGAGTTTCACCATTAAGGCTTTTAGGGCTATGCCACTACGACACATGGAAGATACAATTGTAATTTCCTTGAGCATGCTGGAAGAAGCTCATTTCATTCAGTAAATTCAATAAACACGTGTGGTTGGACAAGTCATCTAACCTGTATGGACTTCAAGGAGGAGGCTAATCAAAGCATTTTTAATGTCCCTTTCAATTCTAGTGCCCTATGAACCCAGTGAATGTATCTGGAAGCCAGAGACTTGAGATGAATGAAGGTTTAAATGTCATTAGATGTTTTTCAGTTTAGGAGTCTAATCTCTTGTGATTTGAATTCTAATGTTGACTTAGTCAAGAACTAGCCTTATGACTAAGGGACACTTTTCCAGATCTGCAAAACAAGGATAAAGAAACCTATCCTGCATATTTTACAGGGATGTTGAGAGGACCAAGTGATGTGTAATGAATGTGAAAGCAACTTGAAAATCATAAAATATTGTTGGAACATACCATGCGATCAGTATTTATTACCCTCATTGGCAATAGAAATAGAGATTCTCAAACCTCAAGAAGGAACGGTTTAGTGTAAGTTATTCCTCTTCAATCTTCATTCCTTTCCTTTGATGTATGAAAGGATAGAATTATATTATTCTAAAATTCTTTCCAACTATGAAATTCTGACTCTTTCTGATTAACAAGTGGAAGAATATAGTAGGAGATAAATAAATACAAAAATATTTGTGTCACCAGAACACAAAACTGCCAAACACACTAAAAAAAGGGGGGGGGGGCTAATATTTACTATGAGTTAGCACTAAATTGAGTGCTTTCCACTTATTATGTGATTTGATACCCTTATGAATCCTTTGAGTTCAATACTACTATTTCCATTTTATTATATTAATGTCACAGATGAGGAACTAAAGCTGAGAGAGATTAAATAACTTTCCAAGGTCATCAAGTGAGCGAGTGGTTGTGTTAGGAATTGAACATGGCGGGCAACTGGGTAGTTCAGTGGATTAAGGAATTGAACATGGGCAGTCCAATGTCAGATGCCTTGTTTATAAAGACCATGCTGTACTCCAAGACACTATCCTCAGCATTTCTGTACACCTTACAAGTATGGTTATTGCTCAAGTCTATGGCATTCCAAAACAAGTTGTCTCATTCCTGATACTTTCTATCTCCTAGTAGACTTAGAACACGTCAGTGTTGGTTATTAATTTTCTGGACCAAACCCACACCTCAAGGAGATCTTTGAACCCCAGTAGGTACAGGAGTGTGGGCCTGGGACACCTTATAGCCCATTAGTTTTGTCCAAGAACATCTCATTGAGCCAAGTCAGCTGGATGTACTGAAAATTATGTGTGCCCAGGACACTAGGCATCTCCTTTGTGACCCAGGCTTCTAAAGTATTTGTTAAGATATACATCCAAGTATGAGATGCACCATTTGTCCCCCAAGGAGGACACCCAGCAAGACCCTCCATTTTGGTGACTAGAACATAACAAGGACAGATTTTTCCTTCGAAAAGAAGAAAGACCATAAAACCCAAAACACAAGAAAAGTTGATGACATATGAGCCTTGTTTCTGAAAGTTCAACACTCAGAAGTTTTTCAGATATCATCAATTCCACCATAGTATTATTTTCAGTACCACTAAACGGAAAATCTTTTAACCAAATGTGTCTTCATCCATAGCATTTATTCATGATCTGTTGTTAACCTTAGATTTTTGGATGGTAGCAGCGGGGAAAGAATTATCAGTGTCTTTTTTTCAGAGCTAGAAACAATATAAAAAATATGAAGAATGGTTACAGTATGGGTACATCATGAAAACTTCATGAGATGCTAGTTCTTCTAGGAATGTCCAATGTTACAGTCAGATGATCCTCTAGCTGCCCCTTCCCGAGAGCCCCATCAGAAAAGACAAGAGAAAAAATAGAGGAGCATACCTCCAGACAGTTTCCCCCTGTTACTTTACCCACATGTCTGAAAAGCTTAAGTTGGGTTTACCTTTCACGGTTGGCTTTATGGGTGGTGTAATTTCATCCATATCCCCCAAACCATCTCCGATCTGCTCCAGAATGTCTGAATCCCCTGAATAGAGAACAAAGACTTTCATTTCACAGTTACCGATAAAAGGCTTAGAATGAAAATGTCTGATTGATATAAGACCAAGACTAAAACTAACTCACACGACACTGTAGTCAGACAGACAAGCAGCAAGGAAAAAGGAAATTGACCACTATAGGACACATTCCCAGTCTTCAGCAGAGGAAAAAGATTAAGGAATAAATAGGTGGGCTCCTGAAAGAGGGAGGGGAGGGGATTGAGGGAATGGTTGAAGTAAAAGGGGACTAGAGGTAGCAGAAGTAACTGCCAGCGAGTTCACAGCTTCCATCCAGGGCCAGTGATGAGGGCTTGTTTTGAGTCCCAGCCCCATCTTAGCTGTTTAAATAATAGCAAGAGCCGGAATAATCTGAAATGAATTTGAATCTGTGCCTTCTATGTGGAGACTCAGAACCTTTTGTTGAGCAGATAAATGCCTTGTACTTAAGAGCAGAGTGAGTTAGTGGTACATAGTTGTAATTCTGTCTCTATTTCTGAAACAGCCTCATGACATTAGCTTGATTGATTCACATGACATTTGCCTAAGAGCGTCTAAGGGGTTTTACTTAGGTATCTGCAGACCCTTTTCTACAATCCGTCATTGGTTCACTGACCTACCTTTTCTCCTACTTTAATAGGCATAGTACCTCTCTCAATCTCTAATGATTCACCCTGGAATCTTCGATGTGACTAAGTAAAATCATCAGTCAATTGTAAATATTTCCAAAACAGTGAAAGTGCTTAAGTACAAACGAGGACTGATCTAAATCCAACACAAATTAACTCATTTTATCCCCTTGATAACTTTACAGCAAGGTGGGTATCATTATTATTCACAACTGCATTTTACAGTTGAGAAAGTCAAGGCACAGAGAGATCAACCAATTTGCCAGAGATCACAGGAATTTGCCACAGGAAGTGGCAAAACTGGATGTGAGTTGAGTATACAGACTTCAGAGTCTTGCTCCTAGCCACTGTGTCAAGCTACAATCATGCTGCTCAGATAGCTGGAAATCACTTGGACAGCTTCTTATAAAAGACAAGGAGGATTCATTCAGTCACCCCGATTGAAGACCAATGACAGAACTTGCACAGAGGAATTGTTCGTGCTGTCTTAATACTCAGCACCTCACAGATTTGAACAAAACCTTTCCCTCAACAAAACTAAAAAACCGGGTTTGAAATAAATGTTTTGTCAGGTAGAGACAAAAAGGCCACTGGGAAACTTAACACAGTTTCATTCTTGCTTGAAATGGTCTTCCCACTAAGCAGAAATTTTTCAGTAAATCACTGAGTCTACATTCAATCTGCTCACTTCCCATGCAGAGAAGAATTAAGCTAATATCTACTATAAGCAAGATAAAATGACCTCAAATACCATATTCTAGTTACAAAGTATAGGAATTATCTCTGGAAGCCTAGATTTTGCTATACATGCTAAACAATAGGAAGTCACCAGGAATCATGTGAAGACAATGGGATTCAATTTACTTAGCACCGAACATCCAAAGCACCGCTTATATTTTATTGGATGATTACTGTTGAGCAATCCAACTCCCCTTATGAATTAAAGAAACTTTATATGACTTCCTATCTAAACGGATTAATGGTTTACTACTGGTTACTAGCTGAGGCATTACTTAAGTTTCCTCAGGGCTAATGACTAGGCAGTGCCCACAGTTTGATCCCACACCAATCACTGCTCAATCATCTCTTTCAAGGAAGATTCCAACCAATGAGAAGAAGCCTACAATTCTGGGCTGAAAGCTAAGTGCCCCATATATGTCTGGGTGATGTTGAAACAGGTAACATTTCCTGAGAAGAACTCTCCTTCTGGTGGTAAGTTAAACACTGTTGGGTGGGGTAAAAATCACACTTAATATTATGTCATAAAGTAGATTCTGAGGAGTGGAGTAAAAGTAAAAGACGTTGAAGACTACAATAAGAAGTGGTATATTCTATAAAAACTAAAGAGATGACAGCTTCACTTATAATTTCCCCCATAAAAGTTTATTTGCAAGTTAAAGTTAAGATTTTCTTTCTTTCTTTTTTTTTTGTTTTTAGTTCAAATAAATAGCTTAAGAACTTTAGGAGAGAGGCAGGTTTTGTTTGTATTTGTCTGTTTTTCTAAAAAGCCAAAATTTAAGGTATCAATAAAGAAATATTATTCTAATTAAAGAATGTTCTAAGATGAGCTCATGGATTGTAAAGTGATTACGTAATCTAGTTATCTCATGGTTCAGTATAAGCTTTTCTATGTATTTGAGACTATTTCATTAAAGGGAATCAATAGGGCGTGATTTTTACCTAAATATAGCATACAACTTTATTAAGGACTGAAATTTATTTCCTTATCCTAAATAGTCATATATTTTTTTAAAGATTCCATGATAGCATTTGTAAAATATAAATGTACGAGCAAAAAAAAGGCTAGTAAAAGATCCAGACATATAAAAAAAAATCCAGAAATTTACAAAGCTATCTTCTTCACAGGATGTATTTTTATAAACTAATAGCATGTATTTCTTAGGAGTTTTAAAAACATTTTTAAAAAGTTTACAATCATCATATAATAAAATTATCATCATCACATCATATGTATTCATAGCAATAATAAAATCGATTGCAGTTTCAACATTTGGTACGGTCAGTGAACTGTGTTTCAGACTGAGAGCTGAGACTATTCTCATCAGCTCTTACTGTCCTCAGCTGGTAGAGTTATATCTTTTCTAAAATCATGTTAAATCCAACTGCACTGAGTCTAAACAAATACTACAAACCCAGATAACCGTTTAGTGACTGCACTGAAAATTAGGCTTGCTGAAACAGTTCCCCAGTTATTTATTATGGGATTTAATTGTTCAGGTGACTAGAGTTCCTGGACAGGGAGTTTTTAATGAAACGAACTTAAAATTGTATGTCTTGTGACATAAAACTGTTCGCTCAGAGCCCCATCCCTACTTAAATGTATTTATATTTCTTGAAACAAGTTTATTGTTCTTTTTCAATGACAGCTTTGAAGAACATTCTGAAGACTGTATAGGAGACAATGCATCAAGAATCTATTTATTGAGTCCTTCTAAAACAAAAGCCAGGAACTCCCTAATGTAAACACATAGCGTTTATTTTGAGGAGAAAAGACATAGATTAAAAAAAAAAAAAAAGCAACCATAAAGTAGACAGCCTAGTCCAAAAAAAAAACAAAAACAAAAACAAAAAAACAAAAAATCCACTTTGGAAGATGTCTCTGAACAACTCTTCCAATGTATTTCTGGATTCAGTGCCAGGGAATAGCAATCGCTTTCAAGTTAATGTCGTAAACGAGAGCCATGAAAGCAGCGCAGCTGTGGATAACAATGCCGACCCTCCACATTATGAGGAAACCTCTTTTGGGGATGAAACCCATAACAGATTCAGAATCAGCTTTAGGCCTGGGAATCAGGAGTGCTATGACAATTTCCTCCAAAATGGAGAAAATGCTAAAACAGATGCCAGTTTTCATGCTTACGATTCTCACACAAACACATACTACCTACAAACCTTTGGCCACAACACGGTGGATGCCGTTCCCAAGATTGAGTACTATCGCAACACCGGTAGCATCAGTGGGCCCAAGGTCAACCGACCCAGCCTGCTTGAGATTCACGAGCAACTTGCAAAGGTAAGTTTCAGGGCACAGGCAAGTGTCCTTCCTTGCTCCTTCAGGAGATCTCCTGCTTTCTAAGAACACACTGAATGTCACCATGTCTGGTGGAGAGGTCTATTCTGAACCACCCTTCTTCTTGACATGATTGTCCCTACTTCCCTGAGTCACCCAGGTGCCCTCTTACTTCCCGATAACCAGAAAATACACAGAAGTGACTCACGAACATTCATGGACTGAGCACAGAGAAAGGAAAAATTAGTTCTGAAAGTTAGGCAATGTGTCGTATCTTGTTTACTGTTATCGTCTACTCAATGCACACTTGGTTAAACATGTCAAGCTAAATACTAAGCTGGTTTCACCTTAGTATTAAGGCCTCCGCAGCTGTTGCAAAAAAAAGAAACAATCACAAGCCCTTGCTGTACTTCATACCGTGGTTCAAGCCTTTGGAGCACATGGGTATTTTATATTTATTCTTTAAAGAGAGAGCAAAAATTTATAAGATTCAGCATTTTATCCCTTCTTCTTCAAAACTTTGCCTGAGGCTCCTGAATGCTCTTAAGCACGTAAAAGTAACTAAATTAAATTTAAGTACAGAAGCAACAGACACGGCTAAACTTTTCATTATTTAAGGAATATAGCCAGGGTTCCCAAATCGGCTAGAAGCATGAGGCAGCACTTTTTCTAATCTTGTAGCAATCAGTTATAAACTCAGTAGATTTCTTCTTCTATACCTTGCTCTAAAATAGGTTGAAGCACTTTATCTTTCTGCTCTTCCGGAACAGGGTTTGGAATGAGTATCATTCCTTATGGATATAACTACTTGCTCAAAAGAATAATTAGCTGTCACATAGCCAAATGTAGTTTACTTTTGCTCAACATTTGAGGTAAAAGAAAAAATTGACTGAAACAATTCCTTTCATATTCATTCATTTAACATTTTTTTCCCTAATCGAATGATCACCCACTCTGGGGAGTCTTAGAATATTGCTCTCAAGAAAGATGCTCATAAAGTTGAAGATTTCCCTTTAATTTCTGCTCATTCTCTTTTCCACAAGGACACCCATCTCTAAAACTTATTCCCCTTATTCCCAGCATCCCTGACAGAGCATCCTACCACCAGAGACTGAAAGACTTCCTGAGGGGAGACTATGCTGTGAACTCTGTAACCTTATCCCTTCTCCCCACCAAGCCTTACTTGTCCCATGTACCATATTGGCAAACACTGGGCTGAAAGGCTGGTTTCTTTACAGATATAAGATTTAGACTTTGTCTGAGATATTTGACATTTTCATCAAAAGATGTTAGCAAGGTGACAATGTGAGAAAAAAATGGCAGCCCCATTAAGAATTTTGAGAAGGAGGTTGATTTGAAGCTCCCGAAATCAGACTGAGGTGTCACTTTGTGTCGTGTAGGAGAGAGGAAAGAAGAAGAGAGAAAGGGAGAAGGCAAAGAAGGAGAAGCAGGTTGCAAGAGGAGAGAAGTTTTCGAGATACGGGAAGGGCAGAAAAAGAAATTTAGGGCCTTATAAAGAGGTTTCAATTTATTCTGAAGAAGGAAAATGAGCCTTTTAAAAGACCTGAAATTCTCTCCTACCATAATCAACCTCATTACACATGATAATTTTTAAAACCTGCATCTTTCACAAAACTGCCATCAAAACTTAAATATTCTCACTCACATTCCTCTCCTAATTTACAACAGAACAAAATAAAACTCTAATTCCATTAAAAAGGGAATGGAGCAAACTCGCATTTTCTTTGAACAGATACTGAGCGCGATATGTAGCTTGTTTACAATTCCCAAAGCCACAGTTTAAGGCAATCTTTGTGTTAGGGGAGAAAACCTCTCAGAGAACAATAGCCGGGTTGGTTGTTCAAAGGCCATCTGAATGACCGGGGTAGAAATGAAGTAGCTGTATTTGACAGATTGCACAGCTGTTTGGGATATCATATTCTTTCTGAGAAGATGAAATGAGACAAAGGACTGAAACTTGACCTCAAACACTTTTTTCTCAGCGACAAGGAGTAGCAAATTAAATAGTTTAAAAATTAGGTTTCAGCCCAGGGTGCTTGGGTAGCTCAGTCCATTAAATGTGTGACTCTGTTTAGGCTCAGGTCCTAATCTCAGGATCATGAGACTGAGCCCTGTCGTGGCTTTTGCTCTCGGCGCAGAATCTGCTTGAGATTCTCTCTCCCTCTCTCTCTGCCCTTCCTGCTTGTGCTCTCTCTCTCTCTCTAAAATAATTAAAACTTTTTTTAAAAAATCAGGTTTATTGGCACCTGGGTGGCTCAGTGGGTTAAGCCTCTGCCTTTGGCTCAGGTCATGATCTCAGGGTCCTAGGATCGAGTCCCGCATCGAGCTCTCTGCTCAGCGGGGAGCCTGCTTCCCCCTCTCTGCCTGCCTCTCTGCCTACTTGTGATCTCTCTGTCAAATAAACAAATAAAAATCTTAAAAAAAAAAAAATCAGGTTTAGGCCCAATGCCCTGAATAATCATTCTCAATGAACGAGTATAGTAATAAGTCACTCTTTTTATGAATTCAACCCTTACTTACCAAGATCTTACTCATCTTGATTAAATCATACGGAAATATCCACATAGCTAAACTAGGAGCAGAATTCAAGTACAACAGTGGAATACACATTCTAATGTTTCTAAAATTGTAGGGCCCCATTCGCCTCTCCACATGTTCTACTTCTGTGCTGTCCTTCGATATCAAACATGAACCATCCAGGCCTTCTTCAATTCATCTCTTTCTTCTTTGTTAGTGAATTTGATTCTATTTTCCCCTGCTTTACAGCATAATAGATGAGGACCTGTAGTGGAATGTAGCTATGTTTGCTGCTCCCTCAAACGTTTTTATGGTGGTCCCTCAAACTACAACTAGAATGATCAATAGAGCAAATGCTGTATAATAATACTCAGACACATCACAGATTTTGTATGCAAAAAATTATAAATGATAATGTTTACCTAAACAATTTAAAAATGGAAACCAATTGACATAGTACAAGTGACATTTTTTTTTTAAGATTTTATTTATTTATTTGAAAGAGAGAGTGAGAGAGAGCATGAGAGGGGAGAAGGTCAGAGGGAGAAGCAGACTCCCCGTGGAGCTGGGAGCCCAATGCTGTACTCGATCCCAGGACTCCTGGATCATGACCTAAGCCGAAGGCCATTTAACCAACTGAGCCACCCAGGCACCTGAGTGGCATTTGTTTTGTACCCATGATTCTAATGCTTTAAAAAGCCATATGGGAATCATACATTCATACTACATGACAGAACATATTTAGACAGAAACTATTTGGATTTTGTGCAAATCCCAGTTACAACTTCCAAGTCAGAAAAAAAAAATGTGAAAGGTTTTCCTTATAGTTGAAATGAAAAATAGGTTTGAAAGACATTATTTTAAGTCTCTACCTTAACGGAAACTCTAGGAGTGATACATATTGACAAAATTTGTAATCCCAATGATTTGCGATCAGAGTTGAAGAAATCTTTTCATTTTCTGTGTAGTAAAGAGCTAAATGCCTATATAGGTGGCTATGAATTATGGATTTCCAAAAACTAGTCAAAAGCAGGAAAATAATGACTCCATCCTTTACTTTCTCTGCAATACTATACAAGCTACATAATTTCAACTGATATTGTAGGATTTTGTAAATACTTGAGTTTATATGCATGCAAAGTGTAGTACAGTGCCTACAATTGTTAGAAACTCAATAAATGGTTGTTGATCATAATGATGATAATTTTCATATTAGCTGATTTTTACTTAAAAAGTAAAATGTGCACTGATAACATATTTAACAAGTACTAAAATATATATATAATGAAATGTCTCTTATCTAAGATAGATCTTCAGTTATTCTCTGTAGGACAATCATTACTGGCAATTTCTTATGAATTCTCCCAGAAATCTTCTATGCTTATACAAACATACAAATATATCTATGTGTCTCTATTCCTATCTATCTAATTTTCTGTCTGTAATTTTTTTTTCAAGCACATATTGAAACATACCTTACACATTGTCCTGCATGCTACTATTTTCATTAAGTAATATACATTGGAGTTCTTTTCATATCAAAACATGTATAATGATTGTTGGACATCTGACAAGTTTAATCTCGTATTTTTACTTTGTAAAAATAATTCCACTTTTAGTGTCCAGTATAATCCTGTGGCTACCTTTTCATACACAGTTCCTAACTACAGAGCTAACCAAAATGAAACTCATTTTCAGCCTTACTAACCACCATTGTTGTCAGCATTTCAGAAAAATATAATTATATAGAAATCAGGAAAATATACAGCCTTTCAATCAAAGTCAGCATTCTCATGTTATTGAAATAAACTGTCTATGAAAAGTATAAAATACTATAAAAATTAAGATAGAAGTATTATTTTTAAGGAAACCAACCATTTACAAACTCTTCCAAAACAAAAACAATGGAGTGACTTCACATTGGGGCCATTAGGCTATCGTCGATAAAAAGTAATTTGTGAATAAAAAGCATTAGAAAAAGCAATTTGTGAATAAAAACCATACACACACTCTGGTGTAAAAACAAACTTTTTATTGAGCATTTTTTTATGTATCATATGAGATGCTCACACTTGGCAAATTCTCGTTCAATCCTTAGAACAACACTTCAGGGTAGCTAATGTTATTATTGCTATTTTATAGATAGCAAAGGTTTCATAAAATCCTATGGATCCTTTAGAAGAGAAAACAAAAACTCAAGTCAGTATACTTCCAAGGTCAAGAAGCCAAGGTCATGTGTCTAATAAGTTGAACCCATGTCTGCCTGACTCTAGAGTCCATGTTCTTTTTCAGTACTTTTCATCCTCAGCCTGCTCTCCCATAGCACTTTGGAAATAGGAAATAGTGGAATTAGGAAATAGGAAATAGTGGAATAGTGATAGGAATAATAATAATAGGAATAATAATAATAGGAAATAGTGGATAATGATAGGAATAATAATAATAGGAATAATAATAATAGGAAA